CTTCGCGAATCACATGATCAAAAATAAATGCACACCAATGAAGATTGGACAAACAACAGAACTTCTCCGTGTACAACATAAAGGACAAAGATTGAATATATTAGAAAATATGGAAATATATAAACAGAAGACCTTCAAAGGACAAATAATAAATGAGCAAATAAATACTGTATCGGACGTACTGTTTGAACCTCTAAAACTACTGTACAAGAAGAAGAATGACAACAACAAAATATTAAGGACAGATATGGAAGGGAATACACCAACTGCAAAAACAAAGGGGGTAAAAATCACGGACTTCTACCTGCCGTCAAAAACGAGCCAAAACAATTCATCTACCTATTGTAGTAGTCTACTTCAAAGAAAACGACCGTACTCGTTCAATGTCACTCAACAACTCCCTTTATTGCATCAGCATTTTTGGAAAGTTCCCGAAGTAACTTATGTATGTACATCAAGTGAAAGAGATAAGCTTACATTGACACATAGTATGCTAGAATGAATACATTATATTGATTAAGAATGATGATGAAGAATAAAGGATAATAGACAAACTTACACTAACGGCCAATATTCAAATTAACCCTACATCGATACTTCTATATACTTAGGGCTAAGGAGACATACTAAGGGTTAACTGCTTATTTATTGCTACAATTCGGCCATTCTGACCGAAAGATCACCTGATCTTAAGTAATTTATTTTTAGCTTTTGCTTAACCAAGGTCGTATATTCGCCACAGCCCAAACTCCTTTGTATGGTATTCGTGACTGTTGGAAACCTTCAACATCCTCCAACACGTATCTATCATTTCGTAAGACTTTGGAAATTTTATAAGGCCCTTTAAATTTAGGGACTAGCTTTCTACATACACCTGCCGTTGAGTCGAAATTTTTGATCAGAACGTAATCACCTTCATTGTACTGGTTCGCAGCCCGCTGTTTGCTGTTAACATAATTATTATTATAGGACTGCAGACGCTTTTCATTTGCTGAAGCTTGCATTCTTACCTCCTCGTGACTTTGTTTGGTATTTTTTGGTTCTCCCTCCTTCAATTCTTCGCTTAGAAAATCTATAATTTTACCTCGCTGTTTAATGCCGAAGAGCATTACGCTGGGATATTGTTTTACAGTCCTATGTATACTATTATTAAGGGCATATTCGACAGTTTCAACTACATTGTCCCAATGAATATTACGCTCAGAATCGCACAATTTAGCTATCATTGGCCCTAAGCTCCTGTTTACCCTCTCTACTTGGCCATTTGCTTGTGGAGATCCTGTTGCTATTTTTATGTGTTGTACATTTTCCGCTTCCATGAATTGCATAAAATCGTTCGAGGTGAAACAGCTACCTCTATCTGAGATTATTATTTTCGGCTTACTATACGAGCGGAAATAATCTTTAAGTGCGCTAATTACCTCTTTAGTGTTAGTAGTTTTTGTTGCATATAGCCTAACAAATTTTGTGCAAGAATCTATAACAACAAATATGTGTTTTTTGGAACGTGAATTATCTATCGGTCCGAAATGATCTACATGTACTACTTCAAACGGGCTCTCCGCTTTCGGAATATTGTGTAAATAGCCTTCTTCTTTTCCGTGTTTTGACGAAAACACTATGCATTTCAGGCAATTTTTAATGTGGGTAGCAGTTTTTTCTCTCATTTTCGCAAACCAATAACTTTTTGATATGAGATCAACCGTTTTATCAACGCCAATATGGCCCATCTCATCGTGGTATTTAAATAAGATATGAGTCTCCATATCTTCAGGGACGCAAAACAGAATTCTACCATTGTCTATCTTTCTGTATACTACTCCGTTGCGCATTTCATACAAGCTATGTTCACTATCCTGTAACATATCCCGCAGATCTTTCAATTTTTTATCTTTGGCTTGGCAAATGATTAAATTGTCTTCAAAAGTGTTAGTATCTACCACTAATACATTATTATTTCGACTTAAAGCGTCAACATGCTGCATACGTGTGCCGGATCTATGTTCTAAAGTGTAATCGAAATTTTGAAGTTCTAATGCCCATCTAGCTATTCTGGGATTTAACTCTTTTTTATTCAGTGTCATGGTTAATGAATTGCAATCAGTGACTATTTTAAATTTAAGTCCTTGAAGATATATACGAAATCGCTGAAGTGCATAAATGATGGACAACGTTTCAAGTTCAAAGCTATGATACTTTGATTCTGCTTCACTAGTTCGCTTTGAGAAATAAAACACGGGATGAAGCTTTTTATCCGACTTACGTTGCATCAATATTGACCCGAACCCCAATGCGCTCGCGTCACAATGCAATTCAGTTTCATCTTTCGGATCATAGATAGCAAGTATTGGGGCTTCTAACAATTTTTGTTTCAACAATTCAAAACATTTAATTTCTTCAAAACCAAACTTGAATTTTTTGTCTTTTCGAGTCAGATCATACAGGGGTTTAGCAGTTATTGAAAAGTCTTTAACAAACCGTCTAAAATATGAACATAGTCCTAAGAAGCTTTGCACTGTTTGTACCTTATTTGGGACTGGAAAATTTTTAATGGCCTCTAGGCCTTTTTCATCAGCTTTGATCCCATCTTTCGAGATGGTATAACCTAAATATTTGATTTCATTCTGGAAAAATTCGCATTTATCAAGCCTCAAATTTAAGTTATTATCAGCTAACCTTTTGAATACTTCTATCAATATTTCAAACTGTTCCTCTATATCTCCAGTAGCAATCATTATATCGTCTAAATATATTATTATTTTATTTTCCCTAACCATATCTGAAAAAATCTTATTTACAAAGCGCTGAAATGTCGACGGGGCATTTTTAAGCCCAAACGGCATGCGTAAAAATTCGAATTGACCTAACGGAGTCACAAAGGAAGTATACTTAACTGACTCCGGGTGCATAAATACATGGAAAAACCCATTCTTTAAATCTAGTTTTGTGAAGATATTCTTATTTGCCATTCTGTCTAGCAAATCATCAATAAGAGGTATGGGGTAATTGTCTTTAGCTGTTACTTTATTAAGCGTCCGATAATCAACGCACATTCTAATGTCGCCAGTTTTTTTACGAACCAGTACAATCGGCGACACATATTCGGACTCACTAGGCCTAATTATCTTCTTTGATATATATTCATCTAACGCTTTCTGCAATTCATTTTTTTCATTATACGACAGACGCCTTGGAGGACAGTTGAAAGGCTTTACATTTTCGACAATTAATTTCATTTCACTTTTAACTTTTGGCTCTATTGGACGCTTAGGATTTTTGTAATATTTCGTAAAAATCTCAAACAATCTATGCGTATCATAACAATTTAACCCAGAGCCGACTATAAAATCTGGTTTCTCATCATGCACATTTGAAATTAACAAAAGCTGTTTTGTAAAATCTTGTTCTTCATTATATCTATCCTCTTTATATTTGGAATCCTTAATTACCTCTTCACTATAACATCTAACTTGATTTGATCGCTCATTTTCATTACAAATTCCCTTTTCATCATTTTTACACATCATTGTTACATTATCATTACTATTTATCAAATAATCTGCTTCACTCATTCTGACTAACTTATATTTACAAACATCTAAAAAGTCCCTGCCCAACACAGCCTCATAATGCATAGTACTGTCATCAACGATTACAAAATTTATTTCAAATAATTTTTCATTTATTTTAATGCAACACAAAAACTTTCCATAAGTTAAAATTTTTTCATTATTCAAACCAAAATAAGTAGTATTTATATTTGATATGTGAGCTGAATCCACTTTTCCGTCGACACAGGACCGCTTTATAAAACTGATTGGGCTACCAGTATTGATTAAACATTCTATCGAAAAGGAAATATTTGTAGAACTTTTAATAATAACATGAAATAATCTTACATAGTCCTCGACCAGGTGAACCCCTTTCTTATTTGAGCATACTGCCGCCCGATGTTCTTTGCTGCCGCACACATAACATGCCCCAAATTCTCTCTTTGGTTTACGACAATCGGCTGCAATATGTCCTTTAATATTGCAGTTGTAGCATCGTACTTCACGTTGGTTTGCATCTGCTGCTGTTGAAGTTGCTTTGATTTCAACCTTGGAGAAAGCTTGGAGTAACTGCGCCTTCGTTGAGTAGCATTGTAAATACGCTTGAGTTCGTAGACGATAGTCACTTATACCCTCAATCACGTATTCTACGATTTCTTCTTCCTCCAGTTGCAATGGGTTAGCAAGTATTACCTTGTCGTTTAAATATTCGACAAATTTCTCGCCAGCCTTCCATTTTCTAGCTTCGAAGCGACGTCGCATTAAAATTCGGTTTTCTTTTAAACCGAATACTTCGTTCATCTCGTCAATCAAATTATTTACGCTCTTGATTGCAAAATCCGGCTTGCTTTGTAACCATTTCTGTGCTTTACCCTTTAATTTGCTAAGCATTAGAACCCGTAACTCATTCTCGTTCACAGTATATGCATCGGCAACGCTTTTCAATTGCGCAATCCAAATGCTAAAATTCAGACCACCATCATAATCGGGTACAAGAGTTTTTATCATCTCTAATGAAATTTTTTGCCTGGCTGCAGCTGCGCAGCTAGGTATTTCACCACCACGCACTGTTTGTAGCAAAAGAATATTTTCTCGCTCTAGCAAGTCTTTTTCTCGTCGCAACAATTCGGCCTCCCGCTTTAGCATTTCAAATTCTGCTACACTGACGCTAGTCTGTTGATTTGGTTGCTCTGCTTGCGTTGTACCATCGCTGCTTTTGTTTTTCTCGTATGTTTGCGCTGCTGTTTCTCCTTCTGTGTGTTGGTCCATTTGCTCATCTCGCTCGTTTTCAGTTAAATGCGAACTCATTCCGTCCAATACGGGACAGCTGCCTCGCTCGGCCATAGGTACATCGTTAAGGCGAACAATCAACGAGCTCTTATTACCACCCGAAGGCAATTGAAGCTGCCGCAACCATGCACGCAACTGCATGACGCTATATTTTGCTAAATCTTCACTGTCCATTTTCTTTTATCGTCACTCTTTTTAGATGGCAACAAATGTTTTCTCTATTATTTTCAATCAATAAGTTTTTAATTCAACTGTTTTCTTTCACTGTTCTTTTATTATTTGCACGCTTTTCTTAAATTACTTCTTACGTTTTTCTAACAATCCTTTTTTCTTTGCTGCTTACACACACATTCGTTTAGTTTGTTTTACACACAGCCATCTGCACTCAGTTTTTT